ACTTCCCGCAAAAAAAAAAAACGTGCCCCGGGCGGAGACGCTTCCCAAGGATGAGAGAGACTCCTGCCGACGTGTTGGCCAGTGGCGCTGGTGTCCAGTATGCGTCTAGTACCAGGCGGCCTTCACACCTGAATTGAAAAGCTTCCAGTGTCCCAGGCAACCTCGCCAAGGAACGCCTCTGGATGCCCGCCAACCCGACTAAATCGTAGTCGAGGGTGCCTTTGACTATCTCTGCAAATCGCAAGCCAGTCGCTGAGAGCGGGTTATACAGCAAGGTCCGCCACACTGTGGTCGCCATCCGTCGCGTGCCCCAACAAGGGCCGAGTCGACATTCAGAGACGGGCGGGCACCTGGATGCGCGAATGTGGCTTTAGCGCCTGGCCGCCTGCAAAAATTGCTAGAGCCAGACGGCGACTCGGCGACCAGGACGAAGACGACGACGAAAACTACGAAAACGACGACGGCGTGGACATAAAATCATTGAATGGGATGGGATGTGGGATGGGATGCGATAAGATGGGGTGGAATACAATGGTTTGGAATACAACGCTCTGTAACGGAATCGAACGCACTTGAACGAGAGCAAGAGCACCGATAAGCAGCGGTGGCTACGTTCCGTTCCGTTCCGTTCCAATTAAATCCATTCAATTTCAATACTTCCCATGACATTCCATCGCATCCCATCGAATCGCATCCCTTTTCAACTCATCCCATCCCATCATATACCATTCAAGATGGTTCCGGAACCGAACCGAACCGGCCGAACCGAACCAGGCCGAACCGAACCGGCGCGAACCGGTGTTTTTTGTCAATGGGAACCGAACCGAACCGAACCGGAAAATTACGACACCGAACCGAACCGAACCGAACCGGGACTCCGAACCGGGCCGAACCTCCCCCCGCCGAACCGGCCCGAACCGGACCGAACCGGAGCGAACCGGAAAACTGGCCACGGAGGGAGGAGGAGGGAGGATGACCGGCGGCGACGACGACGACGACGATGACGGGGACGGGGTTTGGAGCCCCTTTGGGGCCCCTATGCAGGTTTGGGCCCCCTTTGGGGCCCCTTTGGAAGTTCTGGGCCCCTTTGGGGCCTCTTTTGGAGGTTTGAGGCCCCTTTGGGGCCCCTATGCGGGTTTGGGCCCCCTTTGGGGCCCCTTTGGGGCCCCTCTGGGGCCCCTCTGGGGCCCCTCTGGGGCCCCTTTGAGGGTTTGGGCCCCTTTGGGGCCTCTAAGGGGGTTTGGGGCTCCTTTGGGGGGGTTTGGGGCTCCTTTGGGGCCCCGAGCGGCGGAGGCCAGCTCCTTGGGTCGGAACCGCTCCTCGACGGCGATCTGGCCGGAACGGGACCGAACCGGAACAGGAACCGGTCCGAACCGGAAACAAAAAATAAACGTACCGAACCGAAGCGAACCGAACCGGAAGATTACGACACCGAACCGAACCGAACCGAACCGGAGGTGCTTCGGAACCTAACCGAACCGAACCGAACCGGAACTTTCCTGACCATTCCGTCTTCGTCGTCGCTGTCGTGGTTGTCGTCTTCGTAGACCTCGTCGTGGTCGTCTTCGTCGTCATCTTTTGTCGTCCGTCTTCCGTTGTCCGTCGCCCGTTGTCGTCGTCGTCGCCGTCGTCGTCGGCGGCGGCGGCGGCTTCGGCGTCGGCGTCGGCGTCGGCGTCGTCGTCATCGGTGGCGACGCTGCCGCGTGGCAAGTCGAATTATTTGTTCCCCCGTTCCAGCGAAGCCAAGTGGCGAGCAGAGTATAATCAAATGTTTCCGCCCACGTGGCGCCCCAGCGGCGTTGCCAGGTGACGAGTAGAATGGAATACTCTTTCTTCGCCACCCCCAGGCGTTACCACGTGGCGAGTGAGTGGAATTGTATTGCTTTGTTCGCCACTCCGGCGGTGTCGCGTGGACAAGGAGGAGTGGAACAACATGTTTGTTCGCCCTCAAGGCGTGGTGACGTGGCGAACACATTGGAATGTGATGTGTTCCTGCCCAGAAACGTTGCCATGTGATTAGTAGGATGTTCCATTTCCGCTGCATTGCATTGAAATTGAATTGCGTTGGATTGCGTTGGCATTGAATTGCGTTTGCATTGCAATACAGTGCAGCGCATTGCGTTGCACTGCACTGGCACTTGCAGGAGATAGTTTACAGACAAGCCGAATACAAGTTGGTCACCAACAAGAGCCAGACTGGCAAAGCAGCCAACCGATCAACCAACAAACCAGCCTACCTACCAACCAGCCAGCCAACAAATCAGCCAGACAACCAGCCAACCAACCAACAAACCAATCCTTCCAGTGGAATTTTGAGAATGTCCAGCACCGCGGGGCCCAGATTGGATTTTTTGACTCAGCAGCCAGCCAGCCAACCAGCCAGCCAACCACTCCAGAAGAAGATTTTGCGCGACACGGCAGCCAGCCAGCTAACCAACCAGACAGTCAGCCAGGCCACACGGGACGTTTTTGACGATGCCTCACACGGCGTGTCCTGGAATACATTGATTACTGCCACCCCGAAAGAATCCGCCAGCGTGCCGCTGGGCACGGAGTGGGCGTGTCCTCGGATTGCCCAATCCCCTGATCCTCAGTCTTCAATCCTGAGGGTTTAAGGGGCCCGGACCCCAGATTCCGAAATCTACTAGGGTTTGTCGCGTGCCCTCTGGGTTCCTCCGCGGCTTCCCGCGTGAATTTTTCGGGCCCAAGCAGGCCCTAAGAGGCCCCGAAGACGGTACAAGAGGGCCCCGATACGCCCAGAGACTGGCCCAGGACACGCAAGGTGACCCCCAGACGGGCTCAAGACGCCTGAAGAGGCCTCTAAGCGGCCAAGAGGGCCCCAACAGGCAAAGAGGAGTTTGACGGTGTTTGGCTTTCTCGCCTTTTCGGCTTCTCGACGCTCCCAGGCGGCCCTGGAGGTCCCCAAGATCTCCCTAAGACGGCTCAAGAGGGCCCAAAGACAGCCCAAGAGGCGCCGAAGGCGGCCCAAGAGGCCCCAAAGACGGCTCCAAGAGGGGCCCAGATGGGGGACCCGAGCAGACATGTCGAGCCCTCGGCCCCCGAGGGGCCTCCAGGAGGCCCCAAGAGGCCCCCAAGAGGCCCCAAGAGGCCACCAAGAAGCCCCAAGAGGCCGCCATAAGCCCCCAAGAGGCCCTAAAACTTTCGCCAAGCGGCCACCGAGAGCGCTCCGAAGAGACCCCAACTAAAACGTCACTGAGAGCTCTGACCCAAAACCACAGTGGCGGGATGGGCCAAAGGCCATTCGATCCGCCGCCGCCTGTTGCTAGAGGGGTGCCTGGCGTGCCGAATCCAATCGTTTTTGGTTTTGGTTCTTTTTCGGAAGAACTCCCCCTGGGGCTCCGGCGCGTCCCGCCAACCACCCGGAAAAGACCTCAATCCGGAAAAAATTCTCCAAGACGACTCAAGATGGCCTCCAAAATGGCCAAGTTGGCCCAAGATGGCCTCCAAGATGGTCCAAGATGGCCTCCAAGTCCGCCCAAGATGATCCAAGACGGCCTCATGACGGCCCAAGAGAGTCCAAGATATCTCCAGTTTCGCCCAAGAAGCCTCCAAGACGGCCCAATACGACCCAAGAGGCCTCCAAGAGGTCCTCCAGAAGGGTCCGACGAGGCCAAAATGATTGATTTTCTGTAGGTTCGTGAAGCATTTGGGCATTTGCTTCTTCTCGGCATTCCGACGGATCAAGACGGCCCAAGAGGCCCCCAAGATCGCCACAAGATCGCCCACGAGGCCTCCCCCTTGATGGCACAAGGGCGCCCAAGAAGGCCCCAAGAGGGCCCCAAGAGGCCTCCAAGACGACCACGATAGCCTCCGAGATGTCTAAGATGACCCCAAGATGCCTCCAAGGCAGCCCAAGATGCACCCAAGACGGCCTAAGATGGTATCAAGATTGTCCAGGACGGCCCAAGACGCCCCCAAGAAGCCTCCAAGACGGCCCAGGAGGCCTCCAAGAGGTCCTCCCTGAGGGCCCGAAGAGACGACAATTATCGATGTTCCTAAGGTTTTTGAACAAATGTTTGCATTTGCTTCGTCTCGGCATTCCGACGGCTCAAGACGGCACAAGAGGCCCCCAAGATCGCCCAAGAGGCCCCATGACGGCCCAAAAGGCTCCCAAGACTGCCCCAAGAGAGCCCCAAAACGGCCCAAGAGGCCACCAAGACAGCCCAAGATGGTCTCTCAGAACCCCTGATATGCCCCAAGAGGGCCCCAAGACGACCCAGACAGGCCCCCAAGACGGCTTCCGACGGCGTCAGACAAGCCAGGAACGCCCTAAGACGGCCAAAGAGGCCCCCAAGAAGCTCCCAAAGGCCCCCAACAACCCTCCAAGAGGCCCCCAGGAAGCTCACAGGAGGCCCCAAGAATGCCCCAAGAGGTGCCCAAGAGGCCTCTTCCTCCTCCTCCTCCTCCTCCTCCTCCTCCTCCTCCTCCTCCTCTTTTTTCCTTATCCTCCCCCTCCTCCTCTTCTTGCTCCCCCATGCGTTCCCCGAAGTCTTTCCAAACCCACTCGTGAAACAACTGGCCCGATAGCTTGGCCAAGCTCTGGCCCCGCTGTCGGCCCCAGAGGCGCTTCCAAAGGGGCAGGGGGCGGCGGTGATTCGCCGTAGGCGTCTTCGATAGATTGTCTTAACCCGTATCCCATCAGTGACGAATAGAGCAGATGGAGCTGGAATTGATGAACACAAAACATAAGCCACGGATATAATCATACTGTACATACATAATGATTTAGAACAAGAATAAGAGAGAAGGGAACCACACACTGAGGAGACCGGCTAGTGGACAACCTACAACTGCCTGCCTAAAGGTGAATGCGAAATCGATTCGAGCAAACTCTGCAACGGAAAGGGCAACACATGTCATCTCACCCCCCAGTACTGTTGGGCAAGGCCCCAGGTCTAACATATGAAATGTCTACCCCATGCACCAGGATGGCAGGGTTATCGCTGGCAAAGAAGCTGGCGGCGGCGACAGCAGCACGCCTCGAGCACGCCGTCGCCGTTCAGATCCTTGGTTGCACTGGCGAGGACCCGGCAGCCTCACCCAGGCTCGCAGGCTCGCTTGGCTGTGATAATTAGAGGGGCATTCGGCTTCAGTGGTGGAGGGCGAGGAGGAGAGGAGAAGGGGCGGGGGGGCACGTCTCCTCTTCCTCCTCCATCCCCTCATCCTGCAGCTCATCCTCCACCTCCTCTTAGTTGCCAGGCTTTGCTTTGAACGAGGAGGAGGCCAGAAGCCTCGGCCGCAAGCTCCGAGAGCGGGAGACCCGCCAGCTCACAGAAGAAAGTGGCGAACTTTTTCCTTGAGGGGGGGCCTTCCGCTGGCCCACGGTGCGCACCTGTCAAAGCTGCGCCGTGGTCAAAAAAGTCCTCTCCGAGGGATCCTCCCAGGGGCTCATGGCCGACTGCCAGAATCTGTCTCTTCCTTTTCTCCCTCAGTGGCGTGCGATCTTCGTTGCTAGGCGGCTCGAGAGAGCTGTCAGGCGACGAGCGCGTGGGGGAGCGTGCGCGTGGCCTGCAGCATGGCTGAGCCCTGGTTAGTGCTTCGATTCGTGGCCCAGGGAGCCGAGATGGACATCGTCTTGCACGCGCTGGCCAAAAAGCTGGTGGACAAATTGCTCGGGGATGGGGTCGCCGCATCTCCTGTCGGATGCCGGTCCACGAGCAGCGGGAGGCGCTGACCGGGGTGCCCTGGGAGAACACACCGGAGGCGCGGCGGCTGGTCCAGGGCCGAAAAAGCGGCCGCAAGGCAAGCCTGCCCCGTGGGCCCTTCCACGGCCTCGCGCCCAGGCCAAGGCAAGGCGCTGGACTGCGGTGCGCGAGCGGCACGGAAACCCGAAGGGCAAGCCGCTGAACACGGAGGAGGAGAAGAAGAGGACCTGGGCATCGGCGAACAAAAAGCCGCGAAGGTGCTGGTAAAAGAGTCGGCCCTGAAACAGCTGGCCTGAGGCGCAACACAGAAGACAGCGCGCCGAAAGCTGCTGCGAAGGCGGCGGCGCAGCTGGCCATGCGACGCTAGGCTCCACCCCTCCCAGTAAGGAAATCATCCCCCAGGGCCTTGGTAGCATTGGCAGTCCGGTCAGGAGGATACTTTGCGTGCGCATCGTGGCCGGCAGTTCCCAGCTCCCCCTGTTGGGGCTGGACATCTGCGGCCTGTGCGCGTGGCAGCTCCCACTGCTCTTCACCCCGAGTCGTTTGACGACGGCCCCGAGGGCCGAAACCCGCCTTCAAACCCTCAAACAACGACAAAACGGCTGCTTCGATTTTTTGAGGAGCCGGATGTCCAACACACCAGGCCCTCCGTCGATGCCCGCCGCAAGGTTGCGATGGTGCGACGGCGGGCTGCTGCGGCGGACGGCTGCGTCGGCCGACTCTCCCTCTTCACTGAATCTCCGCGTTTCGGGCGCGGGCAACCTACTGGTGCAACACCTCGTGCCCGCGCCCGACAGGTAAGAAATGTGCGTCGGTGCGCTGCTGGGGGGCACCGCCGCCATCACGGTCGGGGTCGACGACGGCAGGGGAAACCGCCTGCGCCGTGCCAGCCGTCTCCGCGTCCGCCTCCACAGTGAGGGTCGGCCGAGGTCGTGATCATGCTCGCCGAGTCTGCCACGCACCCAGGCTGGCGGGCACAGCTCCACGGCGGCCACTCAGCGCCTCGAAGGCATGCAAGAGGCGCTCCGCCGCTCGGCCTTCGGCCCCACTTTACTGGGCACACCGCTCTGGACATGCACAAGGAGGAGGGCGAGTCGGAGCGATGGCTCCGATGGCGCCTACGTAAGACCGCAATTGGGTCGAACCGATCTGGCGCCCGAGGAGGAATGGGGCGGAGGAGAACGAGGAGGAGCACGACGACGACAACCTCACGCGGCGGGCGGAAGGCCCCCAGAAAGACGAAAGCAAGGAAGGATGGGAGGCAGATCGGGGCGACAGGGGTGGTGGTGACGCAACGGTGGCATGGCAATCAATGCGCGCTCTCAACTCTGCAGGCTTGCGGAAAAACGCGGCCAGGAAAACACGAATTCCCTGGGTGCGATCGCACAGGTTGAATTCGATGAAGGGGCCCTGCGACACACAAATAAATACACTCAAATAACAAGGACTCCCCGTATTTTCCCATAGTTTCTGGGATATTGTCTTCCCCCCCACTTCCCACATGTTCCCAGATCTTCATGGGAATCGACAATTAATTGTGTCTGTGTTTTTCCCTCCTGAATTCTAACCTTCAGGCCATGATATGGAAGTGAAGGATGAAGGGCGCGGCGTTAATGGCGCAATGCTTTGGCAGCTTCGCGATGCGTCTGAATCCGAGCCATTTGCTCGTCCGCGAGCTCCACAAGTGGCCGTGGAGAAGGAGAGGGGAGAGGATAGGGAGAGAAAAGGAGGGCCGTCTCTGGCCTCCTCCGGCTTGATGGGCCCGTGCATGGCGGTGGCCGCCGCCGCATCGGCCTCCGCACTGGAGGCTGCCTCTTCGTCGCCCTCTTCTGGGGCGGGCGTCGGCGGGCGCGCGGGGGAGGGGGGGGGGCGACGGCGGCGGCGCGACGCAGCGGCGAGACGGAGGAGCGAAGGGTGGGGGGAGACTGCACGCTTTTCCATCTACTCACTTCTGGGTCTCCTCTGGTTCCCCGGCCGTCTCTCGCATAGTTTGGGGCCTGCGCAAATTCCACATCCGTGTCCAATTTGGCATGCATCTCTCTGAGGCCTTGCATCGCCTCCTCTGGATCGCACATCAACGGCAGGCTGTGATCGACAAGAATTTGCAGAGAGTCTGCGGCGGCTCTGGCGAAGGCAGCTGACCGGCGGGCTGGGCACGTCTTCTTGGCGCCTGTTTTGAAACTGATCTCGCCGAGAGTTTTTGTTCCCGCAAGCGTCGCGTGTTTCCCCCGGCCGTGATTGCATGTGCCATTGTCCCTGTGCTCACAGACATGTGTATGTTGCGTGGGCATTCTGATGGAAGCCACTCGTGTCGGCGCACGTCCTACTTTAGAGGCTGGCCGGTCCTGGAATACACAATGGTCAAGATCGGTGGTAGAAGAGATGGGGGGCCTTGCTAATGCTCTGAGCGGGCCCCGCATAAAAGATGCGGACGCTTATTGTCGCCATGCTGCGGGTTGCGGATGTTACATTCATCCACACTTGCCCCTGCTGCAAGGTCTCCTAGCAGCTGCGCAAGCGCAAACATAACCGTCTCGTCGGAGCCCGCGGCGCACGCCGCATGCATTCGTTCGCGCGGAGTGGGGAGGGGGAGAAGGGGGCCCTTCCAAGCAGCGTGCTGCGCGCCGTGTTTCACGCGGCCACGCTCTGCGTGCCCTGATGTGTCCCCTCTATTCGTTTACAGTTTGCCCTCCTGTAAGATGCCCGTTCTGACTAACAATATCCGCTCTGTGTGTGATCACTGCCATAGTTTCCTTGGCCGTGTCCTGGAAATCCTGGGGTCGGTAAATGCAGTATCTGTCCCGGTGCGCGTTGTCACCTGCTCTGCCTTCTTGTCCTGAGGCGGTGCTGGTGGCTGCAGGGGTATCTTGATGCGGGATCCCCCTGGCCTCGTCGGTGAGCGCATAGATGGAGTTCCCGAGTACTTCCCTGGCTTTCTGCAGGCAATGATGCGAAAACCCAGTTGGAGTCCCATATGAGGTCTTCTGGGGCACATGCGCGGTGGCCAGGGGGGCCGATCTCCGGCGCCCTAGTTCAGCCAGTCTCTGAGCTAGCATCTCCGCTGCGTCCTCGTGGGCCCATGTCCTTGCGACGGCGGCTGGAACTTCCGCTCCGCAGAGAAATGCGCCAAGCAGTATCGTGAAGAGTCGAATGCGAGATGAACTCTGACCTGACTTCTCTGCGAGAAAGAAGCGGCGCGCGCTTTGCATGTGGAAGATGTCCCCGTGGCTAGCTGAGCATGTTTGACCAAAGCATGATGCTGCTGAACGATGCGCTGCTGCATGGCAGGCCTCGTGAGGAATCTTTAGTGGCACCAGGGGCACTCCGAGCTTCTCCCATCCTGCTGCTCTGCCTGTCGCAAAGGATGCTCTGGGCTGGGTGGTTGGCAATGGCGCTCCGCATGGCCAGGCGCTGTCGAATCAAATCTGCCTCTGCTGTTGTTGCGATAGCAAGGCGCCTAGAAGCAGAAGCGTGGCTGGCCTGCGCAAGCCAGAATATTTGCCTCCACAATGACCCGCAGACAAGGATTTCCCAGGACCAGCCTCAACATTGGGATCTGGGAGATTCCCCAGCTCCTCGATGACATGTTCTAGCGAGCCCAGGTCATTGAAGACCTCTTTAAGCCAGAAGGTGGGGGAGGAGTAGCATGCCATGGCCACTAAGCCTTTGACTGCCACCGAACCGTGGTGGAGGGGCCTCCGAAGACACGTAACCTGTAAACCTGCAGTTGCGTCTGCACCTCTGCTCGTCGTACAGCTGCTAGAACCAGTGAATGACCAACTGCACTGCAGTTACATTTGACCACGCGCGCTGCTGAACGATACTTGGTGAACATGTTGCTGCATGGGGGTCGCTCCTGCGCCTCCGTCCTGCCATGCCATGTGCCGGCGTTAAAAAGCTGTGGGGTATCAGGAGCAAGTCCAGGAGCTGCATCTTGATTTTTCCATCTGGAGCGCGCCCACCTACGGAAGGGGCAAACATGCGTCGTCGTTGGTGCCAAGATGAAGCGCATGCTCGATGCCGGTGGGCCAGCTCTGGGCCTAGTGAAGCCCTCTCGCCCAGGCTGAAGCCGAGGTGGGCGTGCTGGCGGGCTGCGCGTGGCTGCGCTTGATCCAGCACTTGTGTCCGCCCCAATAATACCCCCGAGGGCCTTCCAGAGACGTTTTTTTGCTCTGGCCGGCCCTGGCCCTCGGAGTAGAAAAACACATTCCGACTTGTCTTTCTTCTTGTTCAGCTGCAGTCCGCCTTCCGTGAAGGCTGTGGCTAATGTGCTGATCACGTCTGATACGGTGTTCGAAAGCTGCTGTGCCTTGCCGAGAATGGCGAGGAGTGCCGCCATCGCAGAGGGCAGCCTTGTCGTTGCCTGCCGCGAGCGTGGCAGCAAGCGTTCTATCACCTGCTGCGGGGCACTTCTAGGGGATACCATTTGGCCGCAAGTTGCGCCGCCGCTGCGTTGAAGCACTTACCATCGCAAACTTGAATGCCGCATCCCCCATCTGTTGCCCTGGCGCGGAACCTAGCGCAAAGGTTGATTTGTTTGAGGCCCTTGCGCAGTAGAACCATAACCCGTGATGTGCTTTAGCCGGGGGGGCGCGTGCATGTCGGGACTCCTGCGCGCGCCGATGCTTGCGCGGGTTGCGCAAGCTTGGCCTGCGTGGCGCGCGCGGCGGCGGGTGGAAGGCGAGCGGCCTTGAGCGCCATGTCCAGGTCCTCTACTGTGCGCGAGGATGCCATTGCCAACTGCCGCATGACCTCGCAAAAAGCTTGGAATGCGTCGGTCGCGAGAAACATTGCTGAAAGCTTCTTTGCCGGCTGCGATAGTCTGGAAGCCCCTCGCGGCAGCCCCCGCCAATTCGCACCCCCTCCCCGCGGCGCCTCCACATTGGTTGTCTCCCGATGTGCGTGGTGGGGCGAGAGCGAGGGGGTGCGGAATAGGGCGCGGTATCCTTTGCCTGGGCAGGGAGAGGCCATGACCTACCTGGACTGGGGTGGGCGCGATGGATCTGCTGAGCCTTTCCATATCTCCCAGTAGCGCCGCCCCTTGCATCGCATGGGCCCATCAAGCCTCGTGGCGGCCTTGAGCGCTATGGGGTAATGTAACGCGCCGAGCCCCACCCCGCATGTGTGCAACATGCTGCCTGATATACCATCGAGGCTGGCGGCCGGTGGCATGGCGCGCGCACGGCTGCCCTGAAACTGGCGTAATGCGGGCAAGAGGGCACCGCGTGCAGGAGTGTCGTGCGCGTGAGAACCTGCGGGAGCTGCGCGGAGACATCTTGCACTGCGTCGGCCTCTTCGACTTCCACAACGACGCTCAATTCCTCGCGTCCGTAGTGTCCGAGCCATATGTTGACCGCTTCTGCCGCGCTCGCTGCCGGGCGCCCCGTTGGATCCCCCGCCGTGGTGATCGGTCGGGGCGGTTGTTTTTCCCTCGGGCACGCCCCCATCCCCTTGGGTCGTTTGAAGACAATGTTTTGTTGGTGTTTGGACCACTCTGACGTAAAGCGCGTAGCTAGGTGATCGCAGCGCCGTTGCGCGTCCAATCTGGCACACGTTTTGGCGCAGTAGCGGGTGTGAGCTAGTAGTAGTTCTCGTGCCGCGTGGGATGCGCACTTGAGCTTTTGCGCGATTTGTGCATGCCTGCGGAACTCACTGCTGCCTAGTATACCGCTGCGGTAGGACGTGCGTATCTGCGTCCAAGACGCACGTGCACGGGGCCTGTTGGAGGGCTGTGGAGCGCCATTATGGTGCTTGAAATTTTCCGAGAGCTCCCCGCGTTCATTTTGCCTCTGTTGGATGGCTTTCCTCGCGCGCGTCTTTCACTTCGCAGAAAGTATCTGCGCCTCCTTCGCGTGTCCGTGCAGTTCGCGCATGAACCTGTGAACTGCCGGTATATAAAGCGGATGGTCGCGGGGAAAAAACTGCAGGGCATGCCGGGGTGACAATTTGCGGCCGTCCACCACGCAGCCCGGGCAATCGCGAGAACTGCTAGGGTAGCTGTGTCATCCAATTTTGCCTTGGCTGTCTTCCTCGCGCGGTATGCCTTGTCTGGTAAGCCCCCCGCGTTGCTGCTCGAACGCGCGCGTCGCGCATGCGAGCGTGGCCCGGCGCTGAGACCTCAAAAGGTAATTCTGGGAACTCGGCAAGCTTGGTTCTACATCTCGCCTGCGCGCCTGGATCGTTGCATGCGGCTGGGTCATGCTGGGGGGAGTGGCAGAATGGTCTCCTGTGAAATGGAGACATGCGCCGGCTGCTCTGTGATCCTCGCGCGTGACTCTGCGAGATAAACATCGTCGCGGGCCCCCTGAGGGCAAACGCAGACGCTGTCTGAGACGGCGATGCAATCGATCCTGCGCGCCTGCAACTTGCGTCCTGGCGCCGACAGGGTGCCAGCTTGCCCTGACTAGGATGGCGCAAAGGTTGTCGGCGCCCACCTGTCCGTCTCTTGCAACTAAACGATGGGAGCTAGCGCCTGGCTCGCTCTGATCCTCGGCAGCTCTGCTGCCTGCGTGGCCCCCGACGTGGCGCGCCAGACTCTGCCCTTGGCGTCGAGGCGCGCGATGCATGCATCCGCTCCCTGTCGCAATGTGCGCGTGAGATGCGTAGTTGTTCCCCGCCGTTGTCGCATGCGTGCCGGCGCGTCTGGATTGCCGTCGCGCAGGCAAGGCGCACGCGTTGCAAGTGCGTTGCATGACGTGCGCGGCGCTCGCATGGCAACGATGAGGCGCGATGGCGAAAGGCGCAAAACTCTGCGCGTGCACGGCTTGATGCAGCAATCCCCATGCATGGGCAATGACCGCGTTGACCCGCGACGCGCAGCCACCGTGCCCTCGCGGATGGACCGCTGGCAGCAGGACGTGAAACTCGCCCGCCGTCGCTGACTGGGCCGTCTGTGGCCTGCTCTCCGCGGCCCCTGCAAGCGGGCGCCCGCAGTGGTCAAACTGTGCGCCCAGTTGCTCGAATCGCCCAATTGGTGGCCCCATGCGCGAGCCCTCTGCAACGCCTGCGGCCCGCGGGGCCTGGGGGCGCATGGCGAGCGCAGTGGCCGGCGCAACCCAGATCTTAACCTCCGTGGGTTGCTTCGTGGGGGCTGGTAGTTCCTCTGGGGGGCAGTCATTCAGCTTCGCCCTCGCGGGCGCTGGCCCTGGCGCGGGGGCCCCGCGCGGCGGGGGCGCGGCGGCGCGAGCCGCGTTGATAATAATAGCCGTCCATGCCCGCAGTAGTGCTGCAGCGCGCCGTGGCAAGCCCAGCGCCGCGCGACGCGCGTGCTCTGGCGTGCCACTGCGAAGCCAGGTGCGCCGCAGTGTCTACCAGCTCGCGCCAAGGGTGGATGCTGTGACCTGGATACGGTGGATGCATGTGCGCAAAGTGCGCGCAAGTATCTGCGCTGATGCATCCAAGATGGCCTCAGATTCCTCGAGGGCCCCTGCCGCGCCCCCAAGTTGCGCAGCCCGCGCCGCATCGGCATTGTCGCAATGGAAGCGCACTGCGCACCCGCGCAACGTAGGCTCTGCACTTAATCATCTGGCATCCCAGATTGTCGCTGCTAGCTCGGCGCAGGCGGAAGAGGAGGCGGGGGGGGGGGGGGGCTGGTGCCAGGTAAGACCCCTGTTTGGAACGCTTCAAGCCATGCATGTGCGCCATTGCTGGCAACGACACAGATGGCCTGGGATGAGGGGGGCGGGGTCGGAGCTGGCTGCGCGGCTGTAGCCGCCTGCAGATCCATCTGTGCGAAGATCTTCGTTAATTTTCCTGCGCCGACTCGCGCTGCCAACTCAGGTAAACCCCGAATCAAAGCTGAGCGCCAACAACTTAATCCATGATAGGCTATCAGCGCAGAGGCCTTCAGTCCACAGCGTAGTAAGGATGCGAAGCGTGGGGTCTACTGACTAGTCTACTTCTGGACAGGGACTGCACGCGTTGGCCGCGCCTGGGGCATGCGAATCCGCTGGGGGGCTTCGAGCAGGCGTCGTAGGTCTTCGAATTCGCTAGGGACGATCTCGCTGCTCTTGCCCCTCTGCGCGCGGCGGTTCGCTGTCGGACCTGAGGGGGGGGGGGGGGGGGGGGGGGGCAGGTCCTCGTCGGCGTCCCACTGTTGCTTGGCGCTCTTCTCCCCAATTTCGAAAGCCCCCATGAAACGGGTCTTGGCTTTCTCCGTATGATTTCCCTTTGCCGTGAGCCTGGCCGACTGGGTCTTCTGGAAAGATGACTTGGGCGGCTCGGCGGTCTTCCTAGCGCCGCCCGGCGGCTGCCCCTGTCCGTCTGGCGATGGAGCCATCTCGTCCTGCAGTGGCAGCGCGTCGCGACGATCCCAGGCGTCTTCTGGCGCCGCAGCCGTGGCCGGGTCGGATGCTGGAGGCTGTTTAGCTGGATGTGGTTGAGCTGGCGACGGCGCCTGCTGCTGCTGCGCTGGCTGCAGGAGGCCAGCTCGCGGTAGTGTGATCTGTGCTGCAGCCATCTGCTTAGCCAGATTCATGAGCTGGGTGGCCATGTTATGGTTGTTGTTGTTCGCCTGCGTCGCGGCGGGCGCGGCTGGCAACGCGGTGTTCTGCGTAGCGTCCGCTGTACTGACTGGGCTCCTGGGCAGAACCGCTGATGCGGGACAGCTGGGGCATGCTGCGTTCTTCTTGACTGGGTGAACCTGCTTCCCGCCCGGCATGTCATCATCCACTTCTTCAGCGTCACTAGTCTGCTCCTCTTTGGCCTGCTCGTGTGTTGCCAGAACACTGACATCACTCTGTGAGGCCAGAGATGTTGTCAGACCTTTGCGAAAATAGGCCGTCTGCGTTTGGCATAATTGGTGATTTGTTTGGTAAGTTCGTCAGTCTTGCCAAACTCGTCGAGCCTTTTTTATACAATATGTCAACGCTGAGGTTGATGGACAATCCTTTCGTTTGGCGGCCTTGCAAACATGACCTGATACATGGTGATCGCGCAACCAATTTCTGCGAGTATGGCTCTCTTGTGGCCGAGATCAGATCCAACTCTCAGCTGCTTCTCGATCGCAGCAAATGGCTTTTTCAAACGAAAGCGGCGCTTGTGCAAATATGACGCATTCTTCGGCATCGGGGCCCACAACCTATGAGACTCGGAAGCGTGAGGCTCTGCTGCACCGATCATGAATGATATTCGCTGTCATCCAGCTTCTTCCAAGCCGGCGCCTGGGATCTAGCACGTGCGTTCTCCGATGGAGAATGCCATTATTGCTGTTGCCATTATTGGGAAATTTTTCCTCTTCAATATCAGCTGTCCTAGGCTTTCGAATGATTGATACCTCGCAGAATCTGCAAGAGCTGGTGTTGGCGGGTTTGACCTGCTACAAACCGATCGCTCCCTTATATGCTGGACCAACCTGGAGACCTGTGCGACGAGCAATTGTGATGGCGCATTGTGCTGTGATGTTTCTGCAAAAGGTCTGCTGCTGTTGCGATTCGAACCAGTGTTCTTGCCGGGCTCTGGCGCTACCCCTGCGCCTGTGCCAGCCTGGCTCGAACGTTCTTGCTGGTGTCGCCGTCTGTATGTGTCACAGTCGGCCCGTGCTGTGGCTGTGAAGTGCTGGCGTTAGGTGTCGGGCCGACGCGTATGGCAGCTGTCCCTGCTGGGGTTCGCCGCTACCTGGTAGCAACTCCCAAAGCCTGAGCCGGGACGGCGGCAGAGAGGGGCGGCGGCGGCGAACCTCTGCAGGTACACGAGTCTGAACGCTGGCATTCAACGAATTGGCCTGACAGCTCAAGTGCCTAGAGTGCGCTATATTAAGCGGTGCATCGCACGTGGGGGGGGCTCGAACGCGCCTCGGCCAACCCAGCTCGGAGATATCCCTGGGGCCAGGCCGCGCTCAAACACAACAAAATCATAGAGGGGAAGAGAGAGTAGGGGGAACGCGGGTATGTGGGAGGTCCGCGCGGTGGCCGCTGAGCCGCGGGCGTGCAGCTGGAACAGCTCATGCGTCAACTCCTCCAAGCGCCTGGCAACCCCAAGCGGCCGAAGGCTAGAGAGGGGATGTCGCCGACACCCAGGTCCTCTTCCTGCTTTTCCTCCTCCTGCTCCTCCCTCCTCCTCCTGTTCCTCCTCCTCCTGTTCCTCCTCCTCCTCCTCTTCATTCCTCGTCTTCCCTCCTCCTCCTCCTCCTCCTCCTCCTCCTCCTCCTCCTCCTCCTCCTCCTCCTCCTCCTCCCCCTCCGCCTTCTCCTCCTCACTCCTCCCTCTTCCTCCTCCTCCACCTCCTCCTCCTCCACCTCCTCCTCTTCCTTCTCCTCTTCCTCCTCCTTTTCTCCTACTTCTCCTCTCCTCCTCCGCGTTCCGCCTTCCGCCTCACTCCTCATCCTCCTCCTCCTCCGCCTCCTCTTCCTCCTCCTCCTGCTCCTTTTCCTACTCTTCCTTCTCTTCCTCCTTCTCCTCATTTCCTCCTCTCCTCCCTCTCCTCCCTCGCCTTCTCCTCCGACTCCTCCTCCGACTCCTCATTTTCCTCTTCCTCTTCCTCCTCATCCTCCTCCTCCTCCTCATCCTTTTCCTCCTCCTCCGCCTCACTCCTCCGCACTCCTCCATATTTAGCATCATTCCTCCTCACCTTCTTCTCCTCCTCTTCCTCCTCCCGCTCCTCCACCTCCTCCTCCTCATTCCTCCTCTTCCTAACTCCTCACCCCTCCTCCTCCTCCTCCTCCTCCTTCTCCGCCTCCTGCTTCTCCTCCTGCTCCTCCTCCTGCTCCTCCTTCCTCTCCTCCTCCTCCTCCTCCTTTCTGTCCTCCTCCTCATCCTCCTCCTCTTCCCCGAACGCAGTCACGATTTGATGATTAAAGCTCTGCATCACCCCCCCTCCTCCTCCTCCTCCTCCTCCTCCTCCTCTTCCTCATCCTCCCCCTCCTCCGCCTCCTCCTCCTCCTCAACCTCTGCATTCTCATCGTCACCATCATCGCCATCAGCATCGTCGTCATCATCACCATTATCATCACCATCATCATCACCATCATCATCATACTCATCGTAATCATCATCGACATGATCATCACGAACAGCATCGTCATGACCAACATGATCAACAACATCTTCATCGTCATCATCAGCATCATCAGCATCAGCATCATCATCGTCAGTAGCATCAGCACCACCACCACCAGCATCAACAACATCATCATACGCATCATCAACACCAGCATGATCAACATCCGCATTACCATCACCACCCGCATCATTAGTAGAATCAGCATCATCATAATCCGTACCACAGGATCAATATCAACATCAACAGCAACATCCTCATCAGGAGCACCATCACCATCAGCAGCACCACCATGCTCATCCTCATCCTCAAACGCATTCTCACTTTCATCCTCGTCATCCTCATCAACCTCATCGTCATCATCGTTATCATCATCAACACCAACACCATCATCATCAAGATCAGCAGCAGCACCATCATCAGCAATCCCATCATCGTCATACTAATCGCCGTCAGCACCATCCTCAGCAGTAACATCAACAAACACATCGCACACGTCATCATGATCAGCAACATCAACAACATCACCACGACCATGATCATCATCATCACCAACAACAGCCGCATTGTCATCGTCGTCACCGTCATAATCTTCATCAGCATCCTCATCCTCATCCTCGCCTTCATCCTGGTCCCCATTATCACCCTCATCATCACGATTATGAAAAAGGCCCTGGGGCACACAAATAAATACACACACATAAAAAGATTCTCCATATTGTCCGATATGTTTGGGTTCGTTGTCTTCCCCCCACTTCGCGTATGTTTGCAATTTTCTGGGGAATCGACGATTAAGTGTGCCTGTGTGTTTTCCCCCTCCTGAGATTATCAATATCACAAACATCATCAACATCATCACCAGCATTAACATCATCACCGCCACCAACACCATATTCATCAGCATCGTCACCATCATCATAATCATCATCATTATCATCATCATCACTATCAACATCACCATCTTTACCATGCTTATGATCATCATCGTCAGCATCATCATCAGCATCATCGTCATCATCCTTCTCTTCCCCCTCCTCCTCCTCGAAATTCCATCCACCTCCTCCTCGGGCGGGGGGAACAAGAAGCGGGGAATCAGTGCGAAACCCTTTGAAAGGGGTTCCTTGCCAAAGAGCCACGGGAAGGCTTTGCCCGATCCCTGGTGGGAGCGGGGCACACATCAAATGTGAAACCACTCGAACTGAGGGGTTTGAGTCCCCACGACCCACCAGCCCTCTGCGTGTTGGCGGCTCAACGAGTTGTGTCTTATTTCTGGGAAAATCCCTCTTCCCCTTGCTCGGGGGGGGCAGCCAACCAGGAACCGTGCTCACCCCCTCGCGCCATCCATGTGGCCGAATGATTTTGGACCAACACGGCTTCGCACAACGCACATGTCACGAACCTGTTTATAACCTTTGCACTGCTACACTCCTCCTCGGCTAGGCGCCCTCCTCGCCACCGCCGGCGGCAGGCAAACCGCCCGCTAGCTTCCTCGGCTAAGCGCCCTCCGCGCCGCCGCCGACAGCAGGCAGACCGCCCGGTGGCTTCATAAAGCTGGATGGCCGAGCCTTCAACTCAAGCCGCGTTCACACTGCCGCCCGCAGGGACAACTCCCCACGCCCCTCCAAGATCACAAACCCGCACCGATTCATAAATACATCCATCATGTCGCCGCTCGGGTGCTTGGTCATCATGCCCGCTGTTTTGAGATCGCCCGGCACCTTGTTCAGCCTGGCGTGCTTCTGATGGTATATAGCCTGCGCCCACAAGTACTGCGCGCGTCGGTGCCGGACCTTTCCTGCACCAAGCCTGAGCGCAATGCCGCGCCCAGCGGTCGCGTCCGTCTCGGGGATCAGCTCCTTCTTGAAGCCGAAATCCTCGCGCATGTTCTGAGCTCCGAGTCCAGCGCTTGTTCCTCTCACGATCGCGTAGAACTCCGACTCTCCGCTCGACAATGCCATCACTGACAGGGTGTTCGCACTCGCCTTCAGCAAATGCGCGCCGTGGTGCAGCGCGATGCCTGTAGTGCTCTTTCTCGTCAACGCGCAACCTGCATGGTCCGAGTCACACGCCGCAGTCAGGTAGTCTGGCTCGTTCTGCTGCACGAGCTGCTGCTCCAGCCTGGGTCGTCGCATCAGGTAGCGCCCGGTCCTCTTGGCCATCTCCATTGCGATCTGGGTTGGCTTGCTCATCCATCGCGCTGCATCTTTCGCCGCAAGGAGGAGGTCGATCCTGTCCACCGCCAGGTAGTCAATCCTCGCGCACGCGCCGCGAAATAGCACCGCCTCGGTCGTACCGAGGGCCGGTGGCCCCGTCAGCTCCTCGGCCGTCCTCTTGTTGCCCGACGATGATACTGCTTTGCTGCCCTTGTCTGCTCCATGTTTCAGCTGCGGTAAGACGATCTCGACATGGCGGGCGTCAGCCTCCCAATGCAAGCACGGAGCTCCAGCCTTGGTCTCGGTGAGCTTGACGATCCTGTCGAGCAGCGCAACCTCCCGCAAGTCGCCGTCGCCCCAGGCGAGCATCCCACGCGCCTTCACCAGCAGCTTCTTGGACAGCTCTGTCTGGAACCACTCCTGGGCGTCGTCGTCGCCCTCACTCGCGAAATCGCCCACGTGGCAAAACGGCAGGATGTCCTTCTCGTCGCGTCTGCACAAACACGGACAGAAGACGCCAATCTTGAAACTCATCTCACGCAGAACCTCCATCACCTTGTCTGCGAAGTTCGCCGCCGCATCTCTCGTTCGGCACATGCTCTTGGGCAGTAGTGCGCAATAGCCTCCCCGACGTCCTTCGGCCGGGAGATGAACGAATGCCCGCCTGCGCGCAGGGCGGTGGAAGTGCGCTTGATTTAATCGTATCGATTGGTATCAGCCTGCGTCGCCTGCAGTCCCCGCGCTTCCTGCTCATCATCTTGCTGAATAGCATCTAGACGCCCACCTGCAGCGGGGTAGCTGAGAAAAGAACGTCCCTGAGTATCCCAGCCTTTGTCTGCGCACTCTTCAGGTCCTTCGCGACCAGCCTGCACCTTTTTTCCGGGCGAGCGTCGTCGCCCATGTTCACGTTCACCCACTTGACCGGAATGGGCTTCGCCTTGGTCTCCTCCCAGCAGAAAGACTCCGGCACGACCTCGTATACCTTCATGCCACCCACGCACTTGAGCTCCCTTCGCGTCCAGCACCTGGCTCGAGATGTTGTCGCGAAGCTCCTCGTGCTCCTCCGTGTCCCAGGTCGCGGAGTCCCCCTCGCAGGTGACGCCTACGGTGAACGCGCTCAGATCGCCGTTAACATTCAGCTGCGCCCTCGAAACCCTCAGGATCGCTGCCGCCAGCGCCGGCGGGTAGTTTTGCGCTGGCCTCGTCTTCGAGCTTCCAACAAGATGTTCGCGGCTGTGCCACTCATCCCGAGGTAGGCTTTCGTTCTCGCACCGGCGGGGAACCTCCGCCAAAATGCACTCTGAGTTGCTCATCCAGCCCGTGGGCTTGAGGACCATCGAGGTCCACCGTCTGTTGGCCAAAGCAGCACTGGTGCCCCGTGACAAGAAAAACACCCTCTATCCTCAACAGATCCTGCATGAAATGCAGCTTCCAGCTCCATGCTCGATCCGGGTGCTCGCGCAGGAAATAGCGCCCTGCTTTCACCTGCTTGACGTACTGCTTCACGCAAAACCTGAGGTGCCTGATGCCCTCTATCACCTTCTGCTCGTACACCTCGGGGGCGCGGTCCTTGTTCAGGTTCATGATGAGACTGAACGCCCGGCACATCGGCGACCCGATGATCAGGCGCGGCCCCTCCTCATCGATAATCGCCTCGCACACCTTCTGGCGCTCTGGGTCCGAAAGGTCCCACGGCGCCCCGTCCTCATCGCCCAGGCGTAGGTCGAAAGCATGCCCAGGGTTCAGGCCGAACGATTCTGCCCTGCTCGTGATCTTGCCTGGCCCGAACAGCTCCG